ACTCAACGCACCCCACACCCTCTCCAGGAACAAACACAAGTCATTTTCCTAACTTCCCATATCTGCTGTATCTAATGTCAACACAAACACAAGAACGGGAAGATTTCACAGGTGTAAACTATTCAGTTGGAAATACCGACACGTAAATTAAGTCCTCTCAACCCACCCCCTTCAACATCCCTGGGGCTTGCCTAACTTGGGTAAATATTTGTTTCCCTTATGAAGGAGGAAAGAGTTATAACACAGCCAAAGCTTCACAAGTTTCCAGAGCTGAAACTGCAACTTCTTTGTTCTAAAATCCATTTTATTTTTATCACTGAGACACAGTTCCTGTCACCTGGAGTTGATTATGAGAGCAGTTATGGCCACATTTAGCCCCAGGTCTAGCCCTTCAAAGGTGCCGTGATCTAGGGCACCGTGAGACAGTGTCACAGCATGATGGAGCCTCAGAGAGAAGGGTAGTACCTAATTACTCCCATCCCTTCCTGAGCTACAATGTTCATTAACTGCAGGGAAGTTTAGATGATATTTTAACTTATTTAAACACCTCTGTGACTAAAGTCAAGACTTACCAGCAAGAGGGTGATCATTGGCCCCCTCCTGTTCAGGGTAAGGTTTAAAACAATGCTAGCTGACTTCATTCTAACAGAAAAGTACCAACCTATTTCTGGTCCCAAATGAGATGATTTCAGAGACCCTGCTGAGGACACAACAGCACAGCGTCCCAGGCGGCCCACGGTTTCATTGAGGCTTTTCCTCGGTAGGAACGGCTGCCACGCAGAGGTATTGAATGGACCATCTGATCCCTGTATCATGGTCACGTTCACCCTGTCCCGCAGCTCGCAGAGCAGCTTCTCTGGGCTGAGCTTAGCAGCGTTCCTCTTCCCGCTGTAGGTCACGTTGTACTTGTTCATGGACAAGTAGTTCTTTCTGACCTTCTGCAGCCTGGGGATGAGGTTCTTGGATGAACTGTCCTTATCCCACACCTTCACAGTGTCTGCTGTTTTCTTGGGCATTGACACAGAGGCCATGCCCTTTACCTTATTCTGGTTACTGAGCAAAGCTGCTCCATGGAAGAAGCCCTGTGATTTAACTGCGGTCCATTTGCCCAAAGTCCTGGGAACCTGCAAATCCTCACTGTCAGTCTTGAAGGGAACATAGTAGCTCCTCCTCGTCTCTCTCCACAGGCAAACTGTCAGAGCGACCAGCAGCACCACAAGGATACACGTACATTTTTTCAGCACATTGATGTGAACCATAGTGTACGGTGCATCCGAAGGGGACAGGGCATGAAGCTGGTCCTGGGAAGAAGGAACACATTTGGGTCAAAGGTGGGAAAGTCTCCGTTTCGCTTTCGTTTACCTCCCATTGCAGCCAGTCTAAACCCCACATCCCACCACTGGCATTTCCAGCACTCAGCTTCCACTTGGCCACAGGCACACACACTAGCAGAGGTGATGTTTGCAAATAATGAAGCACCTAACTGTGAGGAAGAAGAAAAAAAAAATGAGTTCATGAACACTGGGAGTTTCACCAGCTCAGTGCTGATACATCTGGTGACTTCATAGGAAACTTCTGCAAATCTGCAGCGGGCTGAGGCACTCCCAATGAGAAATCTCATTAAATAGCTGCCGGGAGCCAATTAACCCACAGAAGAATTTGGGTGTATTTGGGCTTCATAACTGTGCTTTGATAAATATTTTTTTCTAGGATATATTACCCTGAAAAAGCAAAGCAAGAACCTGACCTCACGTAGGTAGACGGTTCCAACTCCCAACAGAAAACTCTTTGGAAAATAGCCAGTCTTCAGTTCCCCCCACATGCCTCTCCAGCAATGCTGTACTCCCTAGTGAGAAGGGCTGAAATGAACTACAGCCTTGCAGTGCTCAGCAGATAGGTCAAAATACGCAGACGGCTGCACCTCCTAGACAGGCACCGGCAGCAACACCCCTCGAACAAGCCATCGCAAGCAAGCTGTGCTCCCCTGTGATGTTATGGAGCCACTGGAGTGCCAACATATAGTACCTGTTGGATAAAGCAGCAGCTTTCCAGCTCAAGTCATTTTTGGCTGCTTGCAAGTTTTCTTCCAACGGTTAAAGCAGGATATCCCAAAGTACAACAGCTTGGAGACTTACGGAATAGTTCAAGAAACACCTGCAAAGGAAGAGAGAGAGAGAAAAAATGTTATTAGAGAAGAAACACACTGTCTTGGAGATAAACAAATATTACGTAGGATAGGTACTGTATCTGCACAAACGCCTGCCCAGAAAGAATGCCTCAAGTTTTGCTTACAACAGTGGCCTTCCTTGGTGGCCAGAAATCCCATCTCAACTAGCCAGTCACTTGTCTGCTTGCTGCTCCCCCAAGGCCGGTGGCCTCCTTGGTGGAGAAGGCTCCTACCAGTGGGAGATGTCCCTCATACAGTGAAGCAAAAATCCCAGCACACAGGGAAGGAAAAAGCCACATTTTCCTACAGCAGGCTTTCCTGCCCACGCTTCAGCATGCCACACAGTCCCCTCCAAAGCAGTGGCAGAGACACATCCTCCTTCTCTGGAGCAAGTAAGAGCAAGTGCTATGGAAAAGCTTCTTTACTGCACAATGTTTTATCCACAGGTCCTCCCAAAATACTGCCCACACCAATGTATTTTAAGCTTCAGAGCTGCTTTAGAAGAGCAGGAAAGGAAATGCAGTAAGAGAAGGGGAGATTTTGGCCGGTGCTGCACAGGCGAGGGGCAGCTGGTCCTTGTGTCTGCAGGACCCCGAGTCAGCACGGTGCCACATACACCAAAACACAGATGCCCAGTTCACTGGATTAAGTCCTAAATTATTGAAGTCCTAACGCTGATTACTTAAGTTTTCTTTATCTGTATCAAGACACTCATCCTGGTGTCTCCCAGAGCAACACACAGACAAAAAGCAAACATCCTTCCATCCTCACTTCATAAGCTACAGAAAAGATTAAAGTAGTACCAATAATGCTAGTTCTCTCTGAAGCAACTTCCCCTTCCTTGGCAGATCATCCTGGCTTTTGGCTTGCTTGGGAAGTCGGTGCTAGAAAGACGCCCTTCAGCCCTTCACCAGCTTCCGTACGGGCAGCAGGCGAGGAAGGGGCGCACGGGAGGCCACGGGGCTTCACAGCCCTGTCCCCGAGCAGCTCCCGCACGGTTCCCCATCCATCCACAGCTCCCGTCCTGCAGTGGGTTCTCCAGGGCTCCCTTCCCTGCCTCTCCCTTCCCGCCGTTCCGGCTCTCCCGGGGCATCCTCACCCAAGGAAGGGCCCGGCCAAGGCAGGAGCGCACGGCAGCCCGTCTGCCGAGCGGGACACGCTGCGTCCCACGGCCCAGGCAGAGCCTGCGGGGAAACCAGCCCAACGTGCAGCTCCTCAAGGGCCTGCTGTTTGCAAGTGAGGAGGAGAGATGCTGAGGAAGAGCTGTCCAACCTCTGCGGCAGGTTTCTAGCGTAAGAACCAGAGCCCTCCCTGTGAGCAGGCTGCGTGCAGGCCCCTCGGGCTGAATCTATCCGTGCCCTCCTTCCTCACCCCAAATGACAAGGTCTTGTTTGGAAGGCCGAGCTGGAGCCCCGAGCCATTTCTCATCGAGGTTCCTCCACACTGCACTTGCAGTTACCCTCTTCCTTCCAAAGAGGAGGAGTGAGACTAGGACTTTTAGAGCTATGTCCAGGCACCCTATAACGGCTATAGGGGAAACTGCGGGGGTGGGGGAGTTAAATTCCTCAGTAGGGCCAGCCAAGACCCCTTGCATCCCAGTATCCAAGCGTGGCAAACGTCCTTGAGGCAGCACTGCCGCAAACCCAGCTGGCCAAGGGCCACCTTGGCCTCCGCGGCCAAGACTCCCTTGCTCAGCTCTCGGTGCCCAAGGCCGGGATGATGGAGAGGAGGGGCTGGCGCATCGCGAGGGAAGAGTCTCAGAGGAACTGCAAACTCATTCCCAAACCGTGCCCGGGCTCCCTTCCCAACGGCACGCAGAGAGGGCTGGGGAGGTGCACACAGCTCCTCTGCAGCGCAGCCCTTGCAGAGGGACCCGCAGAGCTCGCCGCGAGCGCCTGGCGCGAGGCAGTCCCCACGGCCACTAACTGCATGATTCACTGTAACGTCTGCAGTTGTATCGCTCTGATTTGTAAGCTGGCACGGTAGGTTCTGCAAGCAAACACATTTTTGCAGAGCCACAGCTTTTCAAGGTGCCTTTTGTGCATCCGATTCTCCCTGCTGTTCAGTTGGCTGCAGCTATCCCGCAGAGCACACCGAGTTCACTTGCACAGAGTGTCCTAGCACAAACCTCCTCGCTAGTGTCCTGCCACTCTCTTTTCTGCCAAGTGGGAAAGCAGCTGCTTTTCCAAGCAAAGCACAAGCTTTGCAAGGCAGGATGGCACACACCAGCAGGGCACAGGCAAACCGTGTATCATGGTGGTTACCCTAAGTGTGCCCATGTGGTAAACTTGCTTCACGCCGTCTCCAGCCACAGCATGAATCTGAGACCTACAAAAGAAATAAGCAAAATCCACCACCACTCAAACCCCCAGACACCCACTCCAAAACCTATGTGGGAAACAGCTGAGAACAGCTGACAAGCCACAATTCCAGCAGCCAGGGCAGGTTTCCCTAAAACACGTACAGATCACTGGCCAAGGCCTTACCTGGCTCCTGCAGTGACCACGAGGAGACAGGCTGGGAACCACGCAAGTATTGGCAAGTTTAGGAGAATACTTCACTCCCTGCAAACCCACACACTTTCCAACATGGTTTGGGGATGCGGCTTTATCACCAGCTGTAATAACACCCGTCCTTTGCTAAGTGCTTCTGAAACCACTGACACTTTTCAAACAGCCCAAGGCAACGAATCCTGCATCTGGGCAAGAAGAGACCCTGCTCCTCCCTGGCTCAGAGCAGCTCAGTACCTGGAACCCTTTTCCTGTCTCTCCTTCCTCCACCCACACACAGCAGGATGTGTCTAACACCCTCTCATTTCTTCTCCAAGGCCGGACCCGCTCCGTGCAAGCCCACCTGGCCCGGCAAGGCTTGCAAACCTCCGGCGGCACCGGGGCGAGATTCATCTGCTTCCCAAACTCCCTCCAGGTCCGTTTCCTTACTGCCTGCTCCCAAGCATCGCCCTCTCCTCCATGCAGCGACTCCAAGGTATTTGTGAGACCAAAAGACTTGCCGAGAGTCTTGTGAAGCTGGAGCAAACCAGGCCTTGGAGCGAAGCGCGTGGGCCCCTCCGGGCCGAGCAGCAGAGCCCCTGAGCAAGCCCGGCGAGACAGGACCTGATTCCTGATGACGAGACTTCTGCGCTGACTCCGAGGTATTCTGCACTTGGTTAATTAGTGCCCTTTTTATATATATTATTATTACGGTTACTGGTCTGAAGTGACGGATCTCAGAGCCCTGTTAAAATACAGCATCCTGTTTGGCACCTTCTATTTTACGGTCCAGAGGCCAAACTAAAGAGGTCCCACCCCACAGTCCTTGTGGAGCTCCATCCCTGGCCTCCCCTCGAACTACTGGTGCAGACCAGTTGTCTCTATGATGTTCAGTAGTTGTGTCACATAAAGCTCTTAAATTAAGATAACTGCTGAAGTGCAGCCTCCGGGAACACTTTGACCTGTTCTGCTCTGCCTCTCCTCGGCTCCTCCTCTTACACAGCAGGATCAGTCACCTGTGGTCTCCCTGCCTTTGATGTATTTGCAAAGACATTTCATTTCAGCAGTTTGTTCCTCAGTCTCTTTTGGGCTACTGCAGTAATCATTTCATATTTAAAGCTGCACCGTCTATGTTCCAGGTTTCCTTCATTTACACCTGGCTCCCTTCCATCTGTACCCACCCTGCTAGCATACTTAAACACAACAGGGGCATAGCTCTATTCCAGGCTTTAGCTGGAGCATTTTTAATGGTTGCATGCCACAGCAACCACTTTACTTTTGGCTTATATTCATTTTCTAAGCTCTTAGCACTACCCTCCTTCCACTCACTATCATCTACAATGTGCTACCTGCCCTTCTCCTCCTTCTGCCCGTCCCCATTCCCCATCCTCCTGCAGGCGACCACATGAAGCCACCTCTCCTCGGGAGAAGCTTCCAAGAAACCTTTCCAAGGAGCTGCTGGACAGTGGCTGGTGGCAAAGGCAGAAGGAGCTTGCACAAACGTGTGCAAGAAGAGGATACCAGAAGGGGAAAGACCCGAAGGGACAAGGCAGGCATCTCTCCTTTCAAAACAAAGTGACATACTCGAGGAAACTGAAGGCAGAAACAAACAGGATTCCAGAA